CCTGAGTCTTTAAAAAAAAAAATAATATATATATATATATAAAATGAATAAATAAAAACCAATAATGCTCATAAAATAAAAATAAATAAGACATTTCCTTAACCCTACATTTCATTTATCATAGTTTATCTTATTATCATCATTATCAAATCCTCCTCTTCCTCCCTCTTTCTTTGTTTTTTTAATTTTCTAATATCTACCGTCTCATCAATGTACAAAGTTATTGAAAACTGTCTATCTTTTTTTAAAATCTATTTACACGCGGTATTTCTTAAAAAAGAAAGAAAGAAAACAAAGTATTTCTAATTTGCTCTTTCATATATACGCTAAAGAAAGTAAGTGAAAATTAAACACGTTTTTAAAAATGAAGGTATAAAAATTTTCATTTTCTTCAGTTTGTAAGAAAGAGAAGAAAGATGAAATAATGGGAAAAAAAAAAAAAAAAAAAATAGTTTACCTCTTCCCTCACAACTTTTTGCATTTTTTAAATGTGTTACAATTTTATCTTTTAACAGGAAAAGAAAGCCTAAGGCATTTTAGCTGCATCTTACCCAATGGAGGATCTTTCTCTCTCTCTCATTCTCTCTCCCTCCCTCTCTCCTTTTCTCTCTCTCTCTCATTCCCTCCCTCCCTCTCTCATTCTCTCTCTCCCTCCCTCTCTCATTCTCTCTCTCTCTCCCTCTCTCATTCTCTCTCTCCCTCCCTCTGCTCTCCTCTCTCTCATCTCTCTTCTCTCTCTTCTCTCATTCTTCTCCCTATCTCCCTCATTCTCTCTCCCTCCCTCTCTCCCTATCTCCTTCATTCTCTCTCTCTCTCTCCCTATCTCCTTCATTCTCTCTCTCTCCTTCTCTCTCATCTCCTCTCCATATCTCCCTCATTTTCTCTCCCTATCTCCCTCATTCTCTCTCTCTCATTTTCACCCACTCTCTCTCTCTCATTTTCATCTCTCTCTCTCTCATTTCACCCACTCTCTCTCTCTCTCATTTTCACCCACTCTCTCTCTCTCTCATTTTCTCTCTCTCTCTCTCATTTTCACCCACTCTCTCTCTCTCTCATTTTCACCCACTCTCTCTCTCTCTCATTTTCACCACTCTCTCTCCTCTCTCTCTCTCTCATCACCCACTCTCTCTCTCTCTCATTTCTCTCTCTCTCTCATTTTCACCCACTCTCTCTCTCTCTCTCGAATTCATTTCAACAACTCAGACGATACAATCTCTCATTGGTTTAATTTGAACTGAAAAGAATCATATACATGTATGTATGTACATACACACATACATATATATACATACACATAAATAATGATATAAATGTTTTCTTCTAATTTATCATTACTATAATTATTATCTTTGAGCTTATTGTATATACGGAAGCTAACAATTTCTTGTTGAAAGAAAAAAAACTTTTGTAAATTAATTTTATAATAAAAAATTATGTAAATCATAGAACAACCTTATCAATATTAATAATAACAATAAAAATGGAAGAAACAGACAGATATGACAAAATACCAAATAAAAGCGTATAAATTACCAAATAATTTATCAGAGAAAACGAAAATCCAGACTCGCCTCAAAGAAAACGTGACCCCCATTTACAGAAAATGGGAAGACAGAATTACCAGTAACTCAAATAAATGTAAAAAAAAAAACTAATAAACAGACAAAAAATAAATTAAAAAAAAGGAAATAACATACAAAATGTTACTTAAATCTAAGTATCAAAATAATTAGTTTGTTAAATGCATTTAATGAGAATACAAATGAGGTAAAAGGGGAGAGAGATGTATGAAATAGAGAGAAGACATAGAAAGGAAAGAGGAAGAAAGAAGGAACTGGAAAGAAAAGAAAAGAAGAAAGAGGGAATACCAAAAAAGGAAGAAATGTACAGAGAGACGTACAGAAATAAAAGAAAGAAATGTACAGGGAGAACATGAATAAAGATGAAGGGAAAGAGAGAGAAAAAAAGGAAAGTGAAAGAGAACTCAAGAAATACAGAAAAATTGAGAAAAAGGACGAGAAAAAGAAAAGAAAAGAAAGAAAGAAAGAAAAAAAGAAAGAAAAAAAAAAAAAAAAAAAAAAAAGATAAATGATGCATGTAAAAAAGTAGAAAAAGACGTTACTCTAAATCTATTTACAAATTTAAGTAAAAACATTTTTAAAAAAATGCCTTTTACTCATTAAATTAATTAAGTTAAAAGAATTACCCCCCCCCTACTTTTCACTTAAAAAAAATACGCACATGAGAATGAAAATGCACATAAAAAACGTACATAGGTCCTTATACATACATGAGTCACTATATACATGCACTTGAGTCCATTTTACGCGCACATGAGTCCCTGTGTGTATGAGTACGTGTACACGCCATTCCTTGTACGTGTACATCCTTTAGGCATACAATACACATCTTATATGTGCACATGACACTTTGTGTGCGTACATGAGTTCCTGCACGCACACGCCACTGTCTAGGCACGCGTACATGGTGTATACGCACACAATCCCTTAAATGCACATATGTACACAAGCATGCGTACATGCACTAATGAAAACACTCATTTTTTTTTCTTTTTCATTTTGTAAAAAATATTAATTATTAATTAATTAAAAAAACACAATTATTTCTCAGTAAAAAAGATTTTTTTATTCAATTTTTTTCCCCATAATGTTCACAATTTTCCTTTTAATTCAATTCATTTAAATCAAATAATTTAATTTTCTAAAAAAAAAAGAAAAAAAAAAAAAAAAAAAAATTGAATTAATCATTTTCCTTTCTTTTCCTATATTTTTTTTCTCTCTCTTTCTCTTTATTACCATATTTATCACTTTTTTCTATGTCCGCTTCCTGTCTCCCTTTCTTTTCACTCTCGAACACTATACTCTATTTTTCTTTACACGCTTTCTATTCTCTTTCTCTAATCACTCTTTATTCTCCTTTTCTCTAGACACGCTTTATTCTCATTTTCCCTTCCCACTTTGCTTAGAAACAAACAAACAAAAAAAAATAAACTGACTAGATCTCATCTGGGATCCTGTGACCCAAAAGCAAGATTGGCTCGCTTTCAACCGAGCCGAAAACAAGCCGGCTTCCCCTCCTGCAAGACGGAAAGCAAGTTCCGTCTGCTCTCTCTCTAGCACGTCGTTTCTTTTCCACGTTTACTTTCCTCTCCTTTTTTTTTTTTTTTTTTTTTTTCTCATTCTGTTTGTCCGTCTCTCTGCCGTCTCTTTTCTGTTCCTTTCATGCTTTCTTCTGCAGAGAAAGAGACATTTAATAAAAAATCCTTTTCCTCTCTTCCTCTCTCTTTCTCAAACTCCAAGCAATTGTAATATTCTTTTGTATTATGGTTCTCTCACGTTTCCTCTTCTGTCCCTTCTCTCTTCTCTTCTTTCTCTTCCTATTAACAGATCAGTTGCGATCTGGCCTTCAACTTCCTCTGAAGAATTTTTCCTTTCTCCGACTTCCCTTTGGTAGCGCGGCACTGAGGGCGTGGCACTCGAGACGCTGCAGGCCTCGAGCAATTCCCCAAAACTCTCTCCTTGCGGAATAAGAGTCGGGCTTAGGTAAGTTAGTAAGGAGGTATAAGGGTATTTTACGTATGGCGTCACAGCCTTGGCGTGGCAGTGTTGGCGGGCGTGTACAGTGTGCCATTCATCCCTTTCACGGAGGACTCGAGTTATGTTTGCGGTAACTGGTGTCGTAATTGGTATCATGTTCGATAGCATGGTTGGTATTGGTGTTTTGGCATCTCGCGTAGATCTCGAGTGGGTGAGGAATACAGAATGAAAAAAAGTGACGAAACAAAAGCTACGAAAGAAAGGGATGTCAAGATTACTGAGAATCAAGAGACTTGAGAGCAACAAGGAGCGATAAAAAGGACGATGTTGTAGTTGCAAAATCTGAGGCATCTGAAACACGGGTGGTGCGACCCTGAGATGTTTCCTTGCAACTGTAACATAATCTTCCTTGCAATAATGTTCCAGGGCAGGCAACTGAGCAGAGAACCGTGCTATTACTCGGGTTTGGGCACCTGGTATGGTAAAGAACGGAGACATGGTTCAAAGCCCGAAAACCTGACGCTACGAGGGACAAGGGGCACATATATAGTCTTCTGGAGAAGAAAAAATGAAGAAATTCACCACCTGATACGTAAAATTTACCGTCCGCTTATGCTTACAGCGCTTTCCAGGATGAAGGAAAACTGACCAAATTTGCCGTCTTCCAATACGTGAATCTTACACTCTTCAGACACACTGTCATATTGACGTCTGGGTAACTGCTTGGCACATGAGACGAGAGGACCCAGCTCTTCATCCTCATGAAGGGAAAATACCAGAGACGGTCTCGATCATTGCTATCGTTGTATCCGATGAATCCCTCTCTCTCTCTCTTCCTTCGTCTCGTCATTGTCTTCTCCTTCTCTCTCCCTTCCTCTCTCTTCCTCCTCCTCTTTTCAGTTAAGTTGATTACATCATTTGTGTAAGACCCTCTTATTCTCTCTTTGCTTTCACTCTTCCCTTTTCTGCCTTCTCTCATTTGTTTTCTCTCTTTCTCCTCCTCACTCTCCTCCTTTCCTTCTCTCTTTTCTCTCTTCCTCCCAACCTCTCACTCTTTTTCAAATCCTTCTCCACGCACCTACAAGTCCTAGCAATTAATCTTTGATTTCTCTCTTCCCTTCCCTTATCTTCTCTCTCTCTCTCTCTTCCTCTCCATCTCTCCCTTCTCTCTTCCTTTCCTTCTTTCTCTTTCTCTTTTCCTCCTGCCGTCCTAGCAATTAAACTGATTCGCCGTAATAGCCGAGAGATCCTTCATGAGCCCTTCAAGGTTCGCCATCTCCTGCGAGAGTTCTTCCGTCGAGTAGCCATGGAGGAGAGCCTCGCTGGCTTCCTGGAATGACAAGAATGGGGTTAGAATCAGGGCATCTAAGCCATATATATTACTTAATATTATTAACAATTACTATCCTTCTTACAGCTTACACTCACTAAAGAATATTCTCAATTAATAGAAATAATAAAACTTAATAAATATACATACACAGGCATGTACATATATAACTGCCTATATTTCCTTTACTTTTTCCCTAAAATTAACTAGTTTATTACTATCTAAACTAAATATTTGTACCAAGTGCAACAAATGTTTATATATTTGCTTGTTCTCCCCTGTTCATAAAACGGTTGTGTAACATAAGTCGTTTGTCATGTAATTCTTGCAAAGCGCCGGTTGATAAATGCGCTGCTTTCACATCCGTCAGTTGGTTGCAACCCTAATTAGCCAAAATCATTATCTATGCTTAATTTTACGAAAGGGAAAGGGGAAAAGAATACTAAACAATACTATCACAGACCTCACAGGTATCATATAACGCTTTCTCGTGCTTTTTTTTTATCTTGGCAGGAATATATCTACTCTTCAAAGAAGTTGATGGTGCCCAATCATATTCCAAATACATAAAACTTGATTATGTACTCTACACAGAGGCTTCAAGACAGAATATGAACAATCACATGTATTGTTTCCATACTTCCGCCAAGCAAACTATTAAGTCAAAACAGTGATAACTGTGTAAATGATATGCAAATGGAAAAGCATATGTAGGCAACAGGAGATTATAAAGTATATATTTCTAAATGCATTTATTGTTACTAGCATTATTAACCTCTTGCCATTCCCGCCCCATTGGCTCATCGGAAGGTGGTTGTTTTTCTCCGATAGTGGCTTCATTTGTATGGCAAAGCTTTTAGGCAATAGCACCTAAAGTGAAGGTAATCATATTTTCAAAAATTATGACAAAATAAAAGGTTTTAGGTGCTGAATGTCGCTCCCAAACTACCGAACGCGCCGGGCACAAAAAAAAAAGGAAACTGCCGATACACCAATGATCCCGCAATCATGTCCACTTGCATCTCATAATTTCCATACCATTCATCTCAAAACCTGATAATTCACCTCACAGAAACTCCAAATTCCCTCATAAAAACATATTTTAATTATCATAATTCACCTCGTAAAACCCTCACATCAACAAAACCTCAATTCCCTCATAAACCTCACAACTCCCTCACACTCACCTCCAAAACCCCGCCGACCCACCTCGTGTTCCGGCAGGGCGTCGACGCGCATGGGCCCCCCGCCGCCCCCTCCACCACCGGGACCCCACCTAGGACCCCCTCCAGGACCTGAGGGCCGGGGGGCCAGGGGGGGTTTCTTGAAGGGCGACGTCACTCCGCTGCCTGGGGGGTCGCATGCCCACTGTAGGAGGAGGCAGGAAGCGAAGGGGAGAGGAGGGGGAGAGGGAAGGAAGGGGAAAAAGAATGATTATTATTGTGATTATAGTTAAGTTCTCAATTCTGAATTCTAGGAGCTAAATATATATATATATATATATATATATATATATATATATATATATATATATATATATATATATATATATATATATATATATATATATATATATATATATATATATATATATATAATATATATATATATATATATATATATATATATATATATATATATATATATATATATATATATATATATATATATATATATATATATATATATATATATATATATATATATATATATATATATATATATATATATATATATATATATATATATATATATATATATATATATATATATATATATATATATATATATATATATATATATATATATATATGTATATATATATATATATATATATATATATATATATATATATATATATATATATATATATATATATATATATATATATCAAAATTCAAATTCAAAATTCTAGAAACCTAATGATTTTTTGAAAATTAAACAAATATATAAAACAAAGTGAAAAGTAACACTGTAGACAAATACTCTCCTCATACGACTAATTTCCTCATAAAACCTCACAATTCCCTCATAAACGTCAGGTTATCCATGAAGACTGTCCTCATAATCTTATCGATTTTTTTTTTTTTAATTCTAGATTCTAAATTAAATCAAAATACTACAGAAAAATAGTCTCGTTATAAACTGTATGATTATTATCATTGAAGATTTGATTTTCTAAATTTGAAAGAATTTTACAAACGCCTCCCCAAAACCACATACACTTATCCACAACCACATAAAACCAGCATACCACCTCACAGCCACATATCCCCACCACATTCACCACATAGATAAATATTCTCACCACATACACCTCACAGCCACATATCCCCACCACATTCACCACATAGAAAATATTCTCACCACATACACCTCACAGCCACATATCCCCACCACATTCACCACATAGATAAATATTCTCACCACATACACCTCACAGCCACATATCCTCACCACATACATCTCATAGCCACATATCCCCACCACATACACCTCATAGCCACATATCCTCACCACATACACCTCATAGCCACAAATCCCTACCACATACGCCTCATAGCCACAAATTCTCACCACATTCACACCATGTCCCGACCAGGTAACCTCACAACCACACAACACGAAACATAACCAACATAGCCATGTCTTTATCGCATACTCCACACAACCACATACACCTCATTCACACAACCACAAAACCCCGCATAACCCTCGTTCCTTACCCATGTGCTTGGGCTGGGGGGTTGTGGGTGCCGACTGCGGGGGGGCGGGGACGCTAAAGGACCGCAGGGGATTCCCCGAGCGCTTCCCTAGGGTGGAGCTACCCCCACTACCCCCTCCGTCGGGTAAGGTGGAGCTGGAACGGAAGGAAAGGAGGGACTTGAGTCGAGAAGTGAGAGAGAAGACGCGGTTAATTGAGGGGAGAAAAATGTGACGAGAGAAAACGTTATGCGATGAGGGGAGAATATTGTTGAGAGGTAACGAAAGAAAACGTCATGCTATGAGGAAAATGAGATTAGACGATTAGAGAAAATATGATGAAACAAGGGGAGTGAAATGTGACGAGACGAGAGAAAACATGATGCGATGAGGGGAGAGATATGCAACGTGGTGACGTGAGAAAACGTGGTGAGATGAGGGGAGAGAAATGTGACGAGGTGACGAGAGAAAACGTGATGAGGGGAGAGAAATCTTACGAGATGATGAGCGAAAACGTGATACAATGAGGAGGAAAATGTGATGAGGTAATCTGAGAAAACATGGCGAGATGAGGGGAGAGAAATGTGACGAGGTGACGAGAGAAAACGTGATGAGGGGAGAGAAATCTTACGAGATGACGAGAGAAAAAGTGATACAATGAGAAGGAAAATGTGATTAGGTGATGAGCGAAAAAGTGATGCAATGAGGGGAGAGAGAGGTGTAATGAAATGATGATAGGGCGTGATGCCATATATGACAAAAGGACGTAATGAGATGAGAATAGATTCCTGTCTTTATGTTTAAATCAACAACCGAAATTCAGAATAAACTTTCGAAGACTATTAAAAGCAAGGAAATTCACTTGACCCAAGATATTAATCGCGACCAAAATTCAAGCTGTAAGCGTACAAAAATCAATAAAAAAAACAAAGGAAATAAGAACACGAGTAAAACAGAAACATAAATTCCCGTTTGTTTCTTGAAATTAACCAAAAGCAAACCTTCAATAAAAGAGAGAGAGAGAGAGAGAGAGAGAGAGAAGAGAGAGAGAAGAGAGAGAGAGAGAGAGAGAGAGAGAGAGAGAGAGAGAGAGAGAGAGAGAGAAGAGAGAGAGAAGAGAGAGAGAGAGAGAGAGAGAGAGAAAGAGAAAGAGAGAGAGAGAGAAAATAAAAGAGATTACTAAAACAAACAAAATCACACACACAAAAAAACAATTTGACACACACACAAAGAAAGGACAATAACGGCAAGACAAACACGAAATACCATCTGTTTTACCTATACTAACTGGAGTGATTACAACAATATATGCTCAAAGAAAAAAAAGAAAAAAAGCAAATCTAAGAAAAATAGAAAAAACAAAAAACAAGAAAAAACAGAAAAAACAAAACAAAACACACATAAAAAAAAAAAAAAAAAAAAATAAATAAATAAAAATAACAGTTAGTACCACTCCGAGAGCGCATACCTCCATCAAGGCGATAGGGTCACTCATGCAATAAAAATATTCCATTAAAATCATCTATTTCTCAGGTACGCTGGTTACGTCAACAAAAAAAGTCTAATTGGCAGAGGTAATAAAGATAATGATAATAATAAATATTATTCAATGGCATTTAAGCTACGCTATGACACACCTCTGGCAACGAATTCATAAAAATCTGTTCCTGACTTTTTTGAGCTGCCTTGCCGATTAGGGTAACTATGCAATCCTTTAAAAAAAATTCCTGGACCCTAATCACGATCCGGATCGCCACCAAAATTTAATGGCATCTAAGGTAGGCTGAGGAGGAGGACGAGGAGGAGGAGAAGGAAGATTAAGGAGAGGAGGAGATTAAGGAGGGAGGAGGAGGGGAGAAGGAAGAGGAGGAGGAAGGGGAGAAGGAGAAGGAAGAGAAGAAGAGAAGAGGAGAGGAAGGGAGGAGAGGAGAGAGAAGGGTGAGGAGGAGGAGGAGGAAGGGGAGGAGGAAGGGGAGGAGGAGAAGTTAGAGGAGGAGGAAGAGGAGGAGGACGAGGAAGAAGGTGAAGGAGAAGAGAGGAAGGGGTGAAGGAGAGAGGAGTAGGAAGGGGAGGAGAAGGGGAGGAGAAGGAGAAGGAAAGGAAGGAAGGAGAGGAGGAAGAGGAGGAGGAAGGAGGAGGAGGAAGGGAGGAGAAGGAAGAGGAGAAGGGGAGAAGGAGAAGGAGGAGGAGGAAGGGAAGAAGGAGGAGGAGGAAGGGTGAAGAGAAGGAGGAGGAGGTGAAGGAGGAGGAGGAGGAAGGGAGGAGGAGGAGGAGAAGGAGGAGGGAGAGGAAGGAAGGAGGAGGAGGAGGAGGAGGAGGAGGAGGAAGGGGAAGGGAGGAGGGAGGGAGGAAGGAGAAGGAGGAGAGGACATCTCTAATAAAAACCTGTTTCCAACTTTTAGAGCCATCCTGCAACCAACACGCTAACAAAGAAAGTAACCAACGCTACCAAAAATATAACCTACCTTTGCGGAGGTAAAAAAAAAAAGAGAAAACAAAGGAGACAGAAGAGCAAAAAAAAAAAACATCCCGTCTTTTGCCCTAAACTAACAATAAAGATTACAAAATACACACTATATTAATTCAAATAAACACAATTACAATACTCAGTGTATGAAAAAGGGGGGGGGGAAACTAACAATAAAATATGAAAAAAAGGAAAAAAAAAAAACAAAAACATCAATATTAAATATACAAAAAAGGGGGAGGGGGATTATGAAAAAAAAAAAATAATAATAATAAAACCAACAAAAAATTGGAAAAACAACAACAAAATCTATGACATTAAACATAGAAGAGAAGAAAAAAACATAAAAAAAGAGAGAAAAAAAAAAACTAAAAAAAAGGTGGAAGAACAACAACAAAAAGAAAAGTAAAAAAGAAAAGAGAACGAAACATTAACGGCGACAGAATGGAGAACCGCAAAATCCCGTCCGCCTGTTTACCTGTACTGGCTGCAGTTACTCCCCAGAGAGGAACCGAGGAGCGGGGGAGGGGGGGGGAGGGCAGGACCCCCAACGGAGGGACCCCCAAGCATGGCGGCCAGACTGGAATTGAGGAGGAGGATGAGACTGAGGAGGAGGAGGAGGAAGGGAAGGAGGAAGAGACTGAGGAGGAGGAGGAAAGGAGGGAGGAGAAGAGAGGAGGGAGAGAGAAAGGAAGAGACTGGAGGATAAGACTGAGAGGAGGAGGAGGAGGAAGGAGAGAGACTGAGGAGGAGGAGAAGGAAGAGGAAGAAGAGGAGAATGAAGAAGGAAGGAGGAGAGAAGGAAGAGACTGAGGATAAGATGAAGAAGGAGGAGGAGGAGGAGGAGGAGGAGGAAGAGACTGAGGTAGAGGAAGAGGAGGAGGAGGAAAGAGAAAGGAAGAGACTGGAGGATGAGACTGAGAGAGGAGGAAGGGAAGGAGAGAAGGAGGAGGAGAGAGGAAGAGGACTGAGGTAGAGGAAGAGGAGGAGGAGGAGAGAGAAAGAAGACTGAGGAAGAGAGAGGAGGAGGAAAGGGAAGGAGGATGAGACTGAGGAGGAGAGGAGGAGGAAGAAGG